ACTTTACTTTATTTTGTGTCTACTTTATTAATAACCCATTTAATACACGCGCAGTCTAACGGGAAGGTTCTGGTAAGTACCGGGAGGCGCCGGGAAGTGACGGGAACCGCCGGGAAACCGACGGGAAGTGCCGGGAGATAGTCTCCCGGCTGGTAAGTGTATTATTCCCGGCCGTTACCTATGCTGTGCGTGCATTATATTGTAATATAAAGTGAGTCCAATTGCTTAGCATTAGAGTCAAGCATTTTTTGCACAACGATTACATCGATCCCAAGCGATAATGCTGTGAAAAGTTGCAGTGATTTAATACTTTGTGGTAAACACAGCAATAACTCGCCGACACTATTTATATCATCGAAACTAATACAGAGATGTGTTAATCCTGTCAACTCTCGGATCATTTCAAATGCTGGGATGTATTGCTTATTGTGAGGATTAATGCCAAGTGTTGTGATCTTTGTGGACAATAGTTGTCCCAATGCTCTGCTCTGCTCTGCACTGATGTACCAAAAACAGCAAATGTATAGCATTTTCAATGATTTCATGGCATCGAGAATGGCATACAGTGTCTGGTAATTGGTTGTGATGTGACTCAACGCCAGGCACTCAATGTTTGGTAACTTCTGTGATAACCAAAGTAGTCGTTCCCCAAGACTTGGCCTTTGGTTTGGTTTTATTGCAAGAGTTTGTGCCGGAAATGCAGACATTCGGGGAATGATGTCATCCTTTGGTAGATATCTATGGATTGTAAAACAATTATTGATTGATATTGTCTTCTGTTTGCGGAACCAATAGTTGGCGCACAACTGGAACTGTTGTGAGACTCTCTCCAGTCGTATCATATCATCGATAGATAGATATGAGAAGATCTGAAGCACCAAATCGTGGTTTAAGACATTTGTCTTCAGAAGTTTAGTACTTTTGCCGTCGGTTTCGGCACTCATTTTGAGTCACTTTTTGCATACAATTTGTTTTTAAAATTTTCAATAAAAACAATAATTTTTGGCCAAATTTTATGAAATAACAGACAGAATTAATTTGCTATATAAAATTTGCTTTACATGTAATTGATAACTTAAATTGACCTTTTATTAAATTATAATTTACATGTAAATTTTATTAGAAACATAAAAATATTCATTGAATTCAAAACTTGAATTGAATTGCAAAACAGATTTATTATAAATTATTTTAATCTAAAGCATAACAAATTCATAATAAATTTATTTGTTTTACCAATAATTGTCTAAATTCTGTATTTAATACAAATTCCTTCTGATTCTTAAATTCCTGGGAATTTGTCGATCAATAGTAAGATCTCTGGTATTGTTGTGAACACAGATTGTGAACCATTTCTTGGGGTCTATTGAATACCAATCGATGAAATCAGTAATCAATTGGTTGCAAAAGTTTGTATATTCTGCCGGAGTGTCATAATAGCGATCCAAATGAATAGCCGATAAATTGTGAAATTCATTGAATAGTTTGCACAAAACGGCTGTCTTTGTGATCAAATTGTGATAATAAAGACCCAGTGTTTTGATTGCCGTGTGTTTTGCTATCAAATGAAACATTTGCCAAAAACATGTCAAACAAAAGGACAGTTGGTTTGCATTGCATTTAATTGTTGTGTACTTTAAGACCAAAGTCTTGAGCACTGGACAACATTTCATAAGCGATTCAAACGCCGGCTCCGAAACACGACATGACTTTAGAAAAAGTGTTTTCACTGAACAAAATCGGTTCAATTTCTCTGTGTATTCATAATCAATAAAATACTGATAATAGAGACCCAGATATACGAGATTTGTCTGCATTTGTGCCACTCTTTGTAAACAATGCCATTCATTTGGTTCAATACGTATACCATATGAAAATGCTTTTAATGACATACCATTGATGAGCAGTTCTAATGCTTCGGCGGTTATCTCATAGTTATAAAACGAATCCAAATGCTTAGTATTGGAGTTAAGCATTATTTGCACCAAATCTACATTAAACGATGCTGGATATTTCATCTGGAGTGATTTAATACTTTGTGGTAAACATGCCAACATATCGGACCGATTATTTACTTGATTGGAATAAATGTATAGATGTGTTAATCCGGTTAATTCTCGGATCAATTCTATAGGATTAATGTTTAGAGTAAAATGAAATCTTATGCAGAGTTTTGCAATCTTTGCCAATAGTCGTCCCAATGCTCTCATTTGCCAATCAGTGAATTCACAGAAAATACAAATGTAAAGTATTTTCAATGATTTCATGGCATCGAGAATGTCATAGAGTGTATGGAAATCGGTATCGAAGTGACTGATAGCCAGACATTCAATGTTTGGTAACTTTTGTAATAACAAAAGCAGTTTTTCTTTACTCGGCATAAGACTTGGCTCTCCCTCTGAATTGGTCTCAAGAATATGTGCCGGAAATGCAGTCATTCGGGGAATGATATCATCTTTTGGTAGATATCTATTGGTTTCAAAACAATTGTCGATTGAGAGTGTCTTCTGTTTGCGGAACCAATAGTTGGCGCAAAACTGGAACTGATTTGAGACTCTCTCCAGACGTATCAACTCATAGATCTCGAGGTGTGAGAAGATCTCAATCACTAAATCGTGATTTAAGACAACTGTCTTCAGATGTTTAGCTCTTTTCCCGTCGGTTTCGGCACTCATTTTGGGATAAATCCTAATTCATATTTATTTTGCTTACATTCTTGTAAAATATTTGAAAATAAAAATTATAAATTTTTTAATTGATTTACAGAAATATACATATTCAATTAATGCAAAACAATAAAGTAAATTATTACACAAATATTAATTAAAAATAAATATATCATGTTTTAATACAGTGGTCAGAATTGTCGTACAAAATCTCCTTCAAAAGTGGGCTCAACTCAATAGCATTTGCCGCGCGTTTAAAATTATCTCTCAATAATTTATTCAATATTGTTATATCGTGTAAAATAGCCAACACTTGTCCGTACTTTACATTATTTTCTGTGCCGTATTTTACGTATAGATACCGTTGAAGTAAATACCCGTATAGTTTGTGTTGAAATCTATTTAAATAAAATATTTGTAAATTATTTTAAGTAAAGTATTTTAATACAAATTCCTTCTAATTCTCAAATTTCTGGGTATTTGTCGATCAATACTAATATTTCCGGTCTTCTCGAGAACACAAATCGTGAACCACTTCTTCGCCGGTATTTCATACCAATCGATGAAATCAGTGATGAATTCGTTGTAAGATTCGCTATAAAACGATCGCCACATTCCTGGATGCAAATGAATGGCCGATAAATTGTGAAATTCATTCAATTGTTTGCACAAAACGGCTGTCCTTTCGATTAAATCATAGCAATAAAGATCCAGTGTTTTGATTGCCGTGTGTTTTGCGATCAAATAAAGCATTTGTCGAAAACATGCCAAACACTTGTTTCCTTCGATACCGCAATCAATTGTTACTTTGCGTAAGATTAGTGTCTTAAGCACTGGAAAGCATTTCAATAGTGATTCAAACGGCGATAACTTTGATCCGGATATTATCAGTGATAGTGTTTTCACTGAACAAAATGATATCAAATTCTCTGTGTATTCATAATCACCAAAATATTGATAATCGAGACCCAAATATACGAGGTTTGTTTGCTTTTGTGCCAATCTTCGCAAACAATGCCATTGATTTGATTCATCGGGCATTTGATATGAAAATTCTTTTAAATTCATACCATTGATGATCACAATCAATGCCTCATCGCTTAAAATATTGCTATAAATATGAAGTGAATTCAAACGCTTAGCATTAGTCCCGAGTATTTGTTGCACCAATTGTTCATCGATTTCACCATCATACATTAGTCGTAATGATCTAATACTTTGTGGTAAACTCTCGCATATCTGAAGGACACGGTTTCTATTAGTCGACGATATGATTAGATTTGTTAATCCGGTTAACTCTCGAATCAATTCATTTGCATCGATATTCTCATTGAAATGTGGATTTATACCAATTCTTGTAATATTTTGTGACAATAATAGTCCCAATCGTCGGCAGTCTTGACTTGTGAAGTGATTGAAGTGTTGGGAAATGCAAATGAATAGCATTTTTAATGATTTCATAGAATCGAGAATATCATAGAGTGTCTGCATATCAGTGTCGACGTGACTGATAACCAAACACTCAATGTTTGGTAACTTTTGTGTCAACCAAAGCATCCGCTCTTTACTCGCTATAAGACTTCGATATCCCTCTGAATCGGTCTGAAGAATATGTGCCGGAATTGCAGACATTGGACGAATAATATCATACTTTGGTAGATATCTATGGCTCCAAAAGCAATTGTTGATTAATATTGTCTTCTGTTTGCGGAACCAATAGTTGGCGCAAAACTGGAACTGATTTGAGACTCTCTCCAGAGGTAACAACTCATGGATCTCGAGGTATGAGAAGATATGCAGCAATAAGTCATGATTTAAGACAACTGTCTTCATATGTTTAGTATTTTCGCCGTCGGTTTCGGCACTCATTTTAAACAAAAATTTTAATTACTTTTATTTTGAGTACATTTTGAAAAATTTTGATTAAAAAAATAAATTTTTAAAATAGTAACAATATTATAATTATTCAATTAATGTAACAGAAAATATTATGATAAAAATGTAAGTTATAATTTATAAATGAATTTATCATGTTTTAATACAGTGGTCAGAATTGTCGTACAAAATCTCTTTCAAAATTGGGCTCAACTCTACAGCATTTGCCGCGCGTTTAAAATTTTCTCTAAATAATTGATTCAATATTTTTATATCGTGTAAAATAGCCAACACTTGTCCGTACTTTACATTATATTCTGTGCCGTATTTCACGAATAGATACCGTTGAAGTAAATACGCGTATAGTTTGTGTTGAAATATATTTAAATAAAATATTTTTAAATTATATAGTGATGTGTATTATCTGATGACCGCATACCTGACCATCTTTTTATGTAATGTATGGCCGGTTGGCGTTAAACAGTAGTAGTATTGATAACTGATAATTTAAATAATTCATTTAAACAATGTTGTTACAAATAACCTAGAAATAATGTAAATACCAAGGTCAATATGATTAAATATCTAAACATAAAATACTTTATGGTAAAAATATAATATTACTTACAATTTGTCAATAAAACCAATAAAACGATTATAATATTATTGTAATTATAAAATATTTTTATTAAATTTTTCAGAGTTAGAAAACATATCAAATAATTCTTATTGATTTATATCACGTTTATAAGATTACAAATTTACCATGTTTATATATTACACTTATTTTATTTAATAGTCTAAAATCTCTGTTAAAAGTGGGCTCAATTCTATAGACTGTGAAACACGAGCGAAGTTTTCTTTATAAATGTCAGTCAATAATTTTATATCGTGTAAAATACTCAACACTTGTCCGTACTTTACATTATATTCTGTGCCGTATTTCACGTATAGATACCGTTGAAGTAAATATGCATATATTTTGCGTTGAAATCTAGTTATTAAATAAAATGTTTACATTAATCGTAAATAACATAATACTTAATTCACTAATAATCACATACTTAACCATCTTTTTATGTGTAATGTATGGCCGGTTGGCGTTAAACAATAGTAAGGGAATCAACTGTCGTATAAGTGAAATAAAATTGAGTCTAATTATAGTATTAACAATTTTAAAACACATACCAAGATCATTACCAGACCATCTTGATTAAACTCTTTGGCCGCCAGCAATAGCTTTTTGAATATGGTATACACTTCTATGGAAATGTCTTTAAACAAATCCAATTTCATTACCGATGGCTGAGTGCCCTATAATTGTAATATTAATTGTAATTTAATATTACCGTATTACCCCGCTTATAAGTGCATGCACTTATAAGTGAATTTCACAGATTTTGCATGTCACAAAAACTACCGCACCTATATCCGGATATAAGTGCACCCCTTGTGTAAAAATCACATATAAGTGCGTCAATATTTATTTGTCAGAAGTATTTATAAAAATTTAATAAATTAATGGTTAGATGATACATTATGTTATAATTTAAAGTAAATCTTCATTTTGATTTCTTTCTTTGTTTTGTAACACTTTGATCCCTGATTTCTATATTTATATTCAATTTATCAATTGATTCACTGATTATTTGAATTGATTCATACTCATTATATGAGATATTTCACAGTAATGTACCCATTATTAATGAAACTCACTAATAGATAAGAAAATGTATATACATTTTAAACATTTAAAGTTTAATAACAAGTCATACGACTTTTATTTCAAGGTATATATAAATTTCAATTGAAAGTCAAAAATGTGCCAAAAACTACCGCACCTATATCCGGATATAGGTGCACCCCTTGTGTGAAAACTCACATATAAGTGCATGCACTTATAAGCGGGGTAATACGGTACATTAAATTCATGAAATGTTTATATTAACTATAAGTATATAAAATGCGCTTGGTACAAACCCATCTATTAGTCCAACACTCCAATTCATAATTAAAATGAAAAGCACCATGTAACGCACTGGCCTCGAGCACCGTGTATTTGACCATGGCTATTTGATCGTCAAGACATGTGCTGCCAAACGCTGTCAGAGATTTTGTGTGATGTGTGAAACTCTCGATAAAAGAGTCGATTCCCTGAACAGTATTGTAGACGAGATCGTGGACTGTATAGTACGGGGCCATTGTTGCCGCCGCCGGATAACTGGCCCTCCCTTTCATGTATTGCTGAAACTGTGGGCTAAATATCGAGATATTCATCAACTCTTTCAGTCGATTGCATTCAATATCGTTTAGATTCTTGTAGTCGTCGATAGGTATGGGAACTGTTGCGGTAATTGTCACCAACTCCTGAGTTGTATCGCACCGGCGATTAGTGTCTTGTGCTATACTGTTGTGAATTTTGGCAATAGTCTCGTCGCCGATAAAGTTCTCGATTTGCATAATATATTCAGTGATATCTCCGGCGGACATCTCTTCCAATGAGCTTTCATTTGTGTCCGTATTTGATATGTCGTGTGAATTGCTGTCCATATTAATAGAGTCCATGTCTTTAAGTATTTGCTTACTTTCCCTATACTTTCTGTTTTCCTCTATTTGTTGTCGTCTGAACTCCTTTTCCTCTGCGGTTAGTATCCATTCCTATGAGATATTTGTTATACAAATGAATTGTTTTTATTATTAAGAATATAATAAATATTTAAATACTTTATTCATTCCGACGGCAAAACACTTTGAGAGCCGACATCTACGACACGACGCCCTGTTTAAGACATCGATCACACAGTGATTATCATTACGACAATTGAATCTCTGTTGTAATAAATATTTGTTTTAATTATATATTAATGTAATTTATATTGGATTTTACCTCATATTTAAATGCATGTCTTCTAAAAAATGCTTTACATGACTGACAGGTAATTGAACCGAAATTAAAACCTAATTATATATTAATTTAATTATTAATTGTTTATTTTGTATTCATTACATACCGGTCGCTGTTTCGCCGCACACTTCACAGATTTTCATTGCAAAATGTGTTTTGCATTAAAATAACTATTTAACACTAATTATAATCTCAATTAATAAATAAATTATAATTTATAAGTTATATTAAGTAAGGGTTTGGATATTTTTAAAAATAGTTAAGTAAAAACAAAACAAAAATATTTGGTACTAAATATTTATAAATATATAAAGCATTACATAAACCACAAACCAGTAGTGAATCATAGGATATAATCATTTTATTTGTTGTGAATGACTGTATTTCTATACAATTTACGCAATAATCACTTAATTATAACCATTTGTTATCTAATCAGTTGTATTCTGTGCCATATCTCAAATATAAAGAAGTTACCAGTAAAGTAAATGCAGTATAATAATTACATTTTATATATAAATTTCACGATTAAATTAATATTAATAGATTGCTTAAATAATTTTATTGTAACATTAAATTAATGCTCAAAATAACACTTTATTTTTAGACCATTGAAAAAATGCATTTAAAACAAACATTTCTTAATTTTCAAATTCCTGGGTATTTGTCGATCAATACTTAGATCTCCGGTATTCTCGAAAACACAAATCGTAAACCACTTCTTAGATGGTATTTCACACCAATCGATACAATCAGTGATAAATTGTCGGCAAAACTTTGTATAATCTGTTTTGATTTGTCCTTTCGATGTATCGAAATGAATGGCCGATAAATTGTGAAAATTGTTGAGTTGTTTACACAAAACGGCTGTCCTTTCATTCAAATCTATGTAATGAAGAGCCAGTGTTTTGATTGCCGTGTGTTTTGCGATCAAATGAAACATTTGCCCAAAACATGTCAAACAATTGTATGCATCGTTTGCATTGCATTTGATTGATGTGTAATTTAAGATCAAAGTCTTAAGCACTGGACAACATTTCAGAAGCGATACAAACGCCGGCTCCGAAACATGACATGACTTTAGAGAAAGTGTTTTCACTGAACAAAATTGATTCAAATTCTCTGTGTATTCATAATAGAGAAGATTCTGATATTCGAGACCCAGGTATACGAGATTTGGCTGCATTTGTGCCACTCTTTGCAAACAATGCCATTCATTAAATTCAAAATGCAATCCATATGATAATGCCTTCAAATCCATACCATTGATGAATACTTCTAGTGCTTCGGGGCTTAACATTAAACATTTATCAATATAAAGCGAATCCAAATGCTCAACATTGGTCTCAAGCATTGTTTGTGCCAATTGTTCATCAATTATACCATCGTATTTTAGTCGTAATGATCTAATACTTGGTGGTAAACACTGGCATATCTGAGAGATACTGTTTCTATTATTATCTCTTATGAAGAGATGTGTTAATCCGGTTAACTGTCGGATCAATTCAACCGCATTTATACTTTTTCTGTAATAATGTAGATTTATGCCAATTTTGGTGATATTAGTTGACAATAGTTGTCCCAATAATAGGGATTCTTGATTTGTAAAGTGTCCGAAACAGCAAATGTATAGCATTTTCAATGATTTCATTGCAGAGAGAATATCATAGAGTGTCTGGAATTTAGTGTCCAAATCACAGATTGACAAACACTCAGTGTTTGGCAACTTTTGTGTCCTAAAAAGGTTACTGTATATAGGATTTACCCATCCGTTAGCAATATATGACGGAAATGCAGACACCGGAGGAATGATATCATCTTTTGGTAGATATCTATTGATGTGATAACACCTGTTGATTGAAATTGACTTTACTTTACGAAACCAATAGTTGGCGCACAACTGGAACTGCTGTGAGACTGTCTCCAGAGGTATCAACTCATGGATTGGTAGGTATGAGAGGATCTGAAGCACCAAATCATGATTCAAGACAACTGTCTTCATATGTTTAGTACTTTTACCGTCTGTTTCGGCACTCATTTTGAATAAACTCTTAAATAATTTTTAAAAACATTTTTACAGATTTTGAATTGAAATTTTTAACAATACTGTACTAACGATTGTAAGATTTTAGTAAAACTTTTAATTTTAAAAATGTTTTACTTTACATTCAAATGATTTAAATATTGCTTTTAATACAAATTTCTTCTGATTCTTAAATTCCTGGGTATTTGTCGATAAATACCGAAATCTCCGGTATTCTCGGGGACACAGATTGTGAACCACTTCTTCGCCGGTATTTCATACGAATCGATGAAATTAGTGATCAATTCTTGACAAACAATAATTGCCTCAACCATTCCGTTCATTGAATTCAAATGAATGGCCGATAAATTATTAAACTCATGAAGGGTTTGACATAAAACGGCTGTCCTTTCAGTCAAATAACAACAATAAAGACCGAGTGTTTTGATTGTCGTGTGTTTTGCGACCAAAAGAAACATTTGTCTAAAACATGTCAAACAATCGTATGGTTGGTTTGCACTGCATTTGATAAATACATTGTATAAAACTAGTGTTTTAAGCGTTGGAAAGCATTTCATAAGCGTTTCAAACGCCTGTTCCGATACATGACATGTCGACAGAGAGAGTGTTTTGACTGAACAAAATCGGACCAAATTCTCGGTGTATTCATAATCCCGAAAAAACTGATACTCGAGACCCAGATATAAGAGATTTGTTTGTTTTTGGGCCAAACTTTGCAAACAATGCCATTCATTTGAATCACTCATTTGAGACGACTCATATGAAAATGCTTTCAAATCCATACCATTGATGAACAGTTCCAGCGCTCCATCACTTAAACCCTCACTATAAATATAAAGCGAATCCAATTGTCTAGCATTGGTCTCAAGCATTGTTTGTGCCATTTGTTCATCGATTATATCCGTATTTAGTAGTTGTAATGATCTAATACTTTGTGGTAAACTCTCGCATATCTGAAAGACACTATTTATATCCGTCGATGATATGATCAGATGTGTTAATCCAGTTAACTCTAGGATCAATTCAACCGAATTTATTTCGTGTCTAAATTGTGGATTTATACCAATTCTGGATATATTTTGTGACAATAATAGTCCCAATCGTCGGGATTCTCGATCAGTGAATTGATTGGAAAAACAAATAAATAGCATTTTTAGTGATTTCATGGCATCGAGAATATCATAAAGCGTTTGCATATCGGTGTGGAACCGACTGATAGCCAGACACTCAATGTTTGGTAACTTTTGTAATAACCAAAGGATCCGCTCTTTACTGTGGATAAGGTTTACTTTTCCATCGGAATCGGTCTGAAGAATAAGTATCGGAATTGAAGACATTTGAGGAATGATATCATCTTTTGGTTTATATCTATTGCGTGTAAAGCAACTGCCCATTGAAAGTGTCTTCTGTTTGCGGAACCAATAGTTGGCGCAAAACTGGAACTGATTTGAGACTCTCTCCAGAGGTAACAACTCATGGATCCCGAGGTATGAGAAGATCTCAATCACTAAATCGTGATTCAAGACAACTGTCTTCAGGTGTTTAGCACTTTTACCATCCGTTTCGGCACTCATTTTGAACACACTTTGAAATATTTTGCAAATTATTTTTATAAAACTATTTTAAAATATTTTACAGATTATAAAATTAATAGATTATTAAATTAACAACAATACAATAAGTTGTATAATACAAAAATAAACAAATCTGAGTTATTTAATTATCGGATTTATAATCTGTGCGGTATTTAAGTATATGTTTAATAATTAATAGAATTAACAAATAGTAAATACAATACAATATAATAAATATCTCAATATAATAAGTAAATTAATTAATTGCAATATAATTTAATTGAGTTTCAGATTATTTGAACAGTGTTTTCAAAATTTTCTTGATTTTCAAATTTCTGTGTATTTGTCGGTCAATACTTAGATCTCCGGTATTCTCGAGAACACAAATCGTGAACCACTTCTTCGCCGGTATTTTATACCAATCGATAAAATCAGTGATAAATTCTTGACAAATATCTGTATATAATGTGTCGATTATTCCGTTGAATGAATTCAAATGAATGGCCGATAAATTGTGAAATTCATTGAGTGTTTTACACAAAACGGCTGTCCTTTCACTCAAATCCGTGTAATGAAGAGCCAGTATTTTGATTGTCGTGTGTTTTGCGATCAAATGAAACGTTTGTTCAAAACATGTCAAACAATTGAATGTTAAAATTGGTTTGCATTCAATCATCACATTGTTTAAGACCAAAGTCCTAAGCGCTGGAAAGCACTTCATAAGAGATTCAAACGCCGGTTCCGATGCACGACATGTCGATAGAGAAAGTGTTTTGATTGAAGAAAATCGGTTCAAATTCTCGGTGTATTCATAATCGCGAAACATCTGATATTCAAGACCCAGATATACGAGATTTGGCTGCTTATGGGCCACGCGTTGAAAACAATGCCAAGCATTTAATCCCTCCGACAACTTATATGAAAATGCTTTCAAATGCATACCATTTATGATGAGTTGGAGTGAATCAACATCTAATGAAAAGTGATAGATATAAAGCGAATCCAAAAACTTGGCATTTGATTCAACCAATCGTTGTGCCAAAAGTTCGTGAAATTCTTGGTGGAATTCTTCGTCTAAGTGTTGATCCGGGTATTGGAGTTGTAATGATTTGATACTTTGCGGCAAACTCTCGCATATCTTGGAATAATTGTTGTTTCCTGTCGTAGATATGATCACATTTGTTAATCCGGTTAACTCTGGGATCATTTCGGCCGCATCTATATTGTAGTTTAAATGTGGATTTATACCAAACGTAGATTTGGTCATATTCTGCGACAATAATAATCGTCGGCATTCTTGATCTGTTAAGTAACTGGAAATGCAAATGAATAGCATTTTTAACGATTTCATGGCATCGACGATATCATAGAGTGTCTGCATATCGGTGTAGAAGTGACTGATTGCCAGACATTCAATGTTTGGTAACTTTTGA